ATTCTAGAAACAAAAAGGCATAACTTTATATTTATTTCCTAATTTTTTTTTACAAGATCGGTCAAATCAACCAAATCCATATAGATAATCGTTAGTGAAAATAATGGATAAAATATACAGTTTCTTAAGAAACATTTGATTACTATCTGGATATTATAAGGATTTTACATGTGAAATTTGAAATTTTCTGCTGCATAAAAGTATTTTTAATCTTAAAATGAAAATTACTTTGCATGTTGGATAGGCAAGATGTGAAAAGAAAAATGGCATGAAAAAAACACTGCTTTAGTAAAAATCAAAAATAAATATATTATTTTTGAAAAACTACATACTTGTAAGACCTTTAATCTCAAGGTATTTCATTCACTAGTTTCATTTTTGTAATGAACTTTCACGATAGTTGCATACCTACTTATAATGTAAGCAGGTTATAGTCAAACAGTTAAAACCACCTTTAAAATATGCAAATATTAACAATGACTATTTCACAGTATCTTTCTTATTGTATTTATAAACCCACCTAAATCACTATACAAGTGTATATGGAGTGAATCAAAATTTCACAATTTCAACAAATTTTCATCTAAATATGTACATGACCTTTCCAGACAAGCATACACAAAAATGGCACACCTTATCACTAATTCTTTCACAGAATTCTTCTGTCTGTGGTTCCAATGATTCCTTCCTTGTATAGAAAAGGATACTAGTGTGTGTGTGTAAAATGGCCCATGCACTACTTTGGTCATATAACTAGATTTGAGGGTAGGTTGGTAGAGATCCTAATGAGTAATAAAATCGAATTGGATGTATGCGTGCCCAACACTTGGTATTGCTAGTGCACAAAAATAATAGAAAGGAAACAAGCATGCATAATAATTTTTTTTAATTTTATAAAAACAAGTTGGAATTAATATATACATAACCTAGCTGGCTATAGTAATATAGAAAGTTTTAATGCTACAAAAAATATGGAAACAACAAAGTCAAAACTACAAAACTGAGTTCAATTTTTTTTTAAGTTTTATCCAACTCAGTTTTTGTAGTTTTGACTTTCTTGTTTCAATACTTTTTGCAGCATTAAAATTTTCTATATTACTATAACTAGCTAGGTCAGTATGTATCAATCCCCACTTCTCTTTATAAAAACTTTTTTTAATTATACTTGTTTTTATAAGTGAGAGCATGAGAAAAGGACAATTAATTAACTATATTCATTACAGTTCAATTTTAGTTTTGCTCTAAGTAGGTAGCTAGGTCTGATGGGAAGTTAATACCTTTTTGTCCATGCTGAAATACAAATTCAAGTTTAGCAGACAGTCTGTGAAGGGCAGTGTTGTCATCCATGATTGGTATACCACTGTCCTGAAAGTGTTTTCTTAGTTCTTTCACACAGTCTGCAAGATTAAATTGAAAATATTAAGTTCTTATATACACAACACAATTTTTGGAGATTTACTACCAAACTATAATTATAAAAAGTCTGGGAAGCTTAGTAACATGTAATCCTTATCATAGTGACAAAATCTTCAACCAAATAGGAACAAATCAGAATATAATATTAACATTTAAGATAAGTACAGTTTTAGAATAATAACTAAAAAAAGTTCCAACCAACATTAAGTGTCTGTAGAATAAATATTAATGGCCATAGACAATCTAACAATTAAATAGGAACCAATCAGAATGTGTAATTTTTCAGTAATGATGACTCTCAAAGCCCGAGCTCGGTACATTTTGATACTAAACCACCGATCTTTTTACTGGCATCAAAACTATGTCAAATGTCAGACTAAATTAGAAACTCAGTTACACAAATTTAAATATACTTATAGGATTATTAGGCTTAACCATCAATCACATACTATTACTACATACACCTAAGCCTAAGTTTTGATTCACGTGCTTTGTTAGTTTGTATCACATGCTGTCTATTTTCGGTCTCATAATGTTACTCGAAGACTCTCAGTATTTATGAACTTCGAACTTGCATGTACATAAAGAAATGTAAAATGTGTGTAGTAGATTAAGTGAAACGAATTCAACTCACCTCGTATATCGGAAACTACTTTGTCTAATCGTACTTCCGAAGCCATCCCTCAGCTGCATCTCTTTCGTCCAACTGTCGACATAGAAGATACACACATAAGCAGACAAGTTTATAAACAGTGCACAGCCGTCACGTGAAAGATGTCTAAACTAACACAGCAACTCATCTACTGCCAGTGATTCAATGGGCTTAAACTCCTGAGCTTTACAAACCTATCTAACAAATGCGTAGTACACAATACAGTGATCTCGAAAAGTACGTAACATATAATAATAATGATTCTCAAGAACAAATGTAGCAAAAAATACGGAACACACAATACTATGTGATATCGAGAAATATATAAACCTAACTAAAAAAATACGTAACGTACAATACTACACGACCCTCGAGATATACAAACCTTACCCATACTTGTAGTACACAATACAGTGACCTCAAATCATACAAACCTAACACACAACACTACACAATTTACAATGATCGCATATTTTCATAGAAAACAATCTAATTTCTACCAACCATAGTTTCCATGAATAAAAGAAATAATCGTGTTATTTTATCCTAGAATCAATAATCTCACAGGAAATTAGGCACTCTTAAAATAATCGTATTATTTTATGCTACAATTAAGCTGTCAGGAAAATTGGCACTCTTCTATATTCTGTGCTTTTTTTGGCAAATAGAAAACGTTGTGACTCAAAGAATCAAATCAACAAGTTAAACAACCTCCCACGATTCCTCAGCTGTATAATGACGACTCCAAAAGCCTTCGCGGATGATTCATTAGCAATGTAAGCTTAATGCTATATTTAACCGTTATTAGCTGTATCTACATAAGTATCAGCCGCGTCATGTTATGTCGTATAAAAGTTTCTCAAAACAACTACAAAAAATGGAAATTTAACAAATAACTTTGTAACTTATCAACCGAAAAGAAATAGACGATGGTGTATGATACACCAAAGAGAACGTGCCTGATAAACACGTGACGAGAAACAGCTGACGTACACAATGGCTGGGAAATAGATGATACATAAAAACTATACTTCTTACTCAGACAAAGAATAAGAAAAAGTAAGTGACAGCGTCTGACAAAACATTACAAATCTACTATTAGAAAGACTGTTTCTTTGTGGAACTTCGTGCAAATTACTCGAGGGCAATCAGCGCAATAAACAGATCGAAAGTTGTTTCAATAAGCAGAAGTCACAATGGCAAAAGATAGAAAGAATGATGTAAAATGGACCAGCGGTTAGATAAACACATAATATAATCACCGATTCAGATGATAAATGAATAGTCCAGCGAGTAATAACAGTTAGTAATTTCTGGTTAAGTGACAGTGTGAATGATAAGCACACAATATTAGGTGATTCACAGAAGTCACTAAAGCCAAGGGCCTGGCATGGTTAATGGCTAGGGTGCTCAACTCGCAATCCGCGGGTTCGAATCCCATCACCTAACATGCTCACCCTTTAAACCGTGGGAGCGTTATAATGTGATAGTCAATCTCACTAAATGATTAAAGTAATAGCCCAAGAGTTGGCGTTGGGTGGTGTTGACTAGCTACCTTATCACTTCTAAATCAGAGACGGCTGGCGCAAATAACCGTCGAGTAGCTTTGCGAGAAAATCAATAAACAAACTAAGTAAAATGACTGATGACCGAGTAACCGATAACATAATAGAGTGACTGATGATTGACCAACAGATAAAAATATAACAGAATGATTGAATATGACTTAGTTTTGGCCATACACATTTTCGGACTTAAACAGTTAATCCTGGTTAATTGTTATTGCGCTTTTCTTATAAAATTGACCACGAATATTCTTCAACTTGATTTAGCTTCAAAACATATCTTTAGACACACGCAATGAACTTCGAACTTTCGCCCAGCAAGAATACTAGTATCATGTATGAGTCATGTATCCAACAGCCAATAGATACATCGTGTGTAGATGAAAACAACACACGATGATCTTTGAACTTCCACCTTGTAAGAATTTTAAAGTCATGTATGAGTCACGTAAAACCAAAAGCCAATATATGCGTCATGTATCAATAAGAAGAACACGATATATTTTACCATTTATAAATGAAACACGAGCTATGTTCATTACTTACAAATGTCTAAAAATACATATTGTTTAACCCTTGTTCATTTTTAATGTTTTACAATTACATTTGTCTTTTGTAATAGCGTCTATTATTGATAAATATAAGCTAAGAACTGGGCTGAAATTAAAAGGTTATCTCTACCATACGAAAATGTATTCGAGATAATTAACATATTGTGAATTGAACAAAACAATGGAATATATAAACGGTCCATGCAAGCATTAAAACATAATTCATGCCAATGTTCAAAATAATATCCAGCCGTACCTATTTTATTCTGTTATTCAGGAACTGAAGGTTACACAGAATAGCGAGTCTTCTCGAAGATGGTTCGACTTTCTCTAACCAAATCGTTAAATAAGCGTTGCTGCTTTCACAATCACTAGTCTTTGTCTCGGAAACTACGTCAAATTCTTAAACACGAGCATTGCTTAAGTTATCTACTGCTTAAAATAGCTCAAACCAGAGAAGGCCGAAGTGTTTTGGTGCCAAGAACAGCTACCACGATCACTAGTTAGAGCCAGCTGGGACATAGGTTCTTCGTTTACATGGAACTACGACTATTATTACAATACAGCGGCACATGATTAGCTTTCTTCTTTTTCTATCTTACGACTAAACAAAACATGAGTCTAAAAGTTCTTTATTTGAAACAAATATATTTAGAATAAACATTTTAAAGGTTGCGTTTTAGTAACAATAAACTATTTTTCACAATAAGCATACATTGACGAAAAAAGATATACGAAATTATCGAGAGAATTACGTACGTATAAACACGTTTTACTAAACAAAAAAATATTTATTGGGGTTTTGTATATTAACTGTTGTAATAGTCGATAATTTTCATTTTTCAGAAATTTCATTTTACTGACTCCTTATAGTCACAACATACGAGTTAATTAAAAGCAGAATTATGATTTTAAATGTATAAATATATAATACGGACCGATCTTTACTCTAACATTATCCATATGCCACACTAAAAAAGCACGTGAACTTATCTCACTGGGGATTGTATGTCTACGCTAAAAGTCGAAAGGCTGGTGGTAACAACTTTAAAATGTTGAAGCTCCATATGTCTATCACTAGAAAACTCGTAATCTTTGAATTACTTGATCCTTAGTCATCTATACAAGTTTTATAAGGATTTTTTAACAAGTCTAACAAAAACAGAAATATCTAATTATTACACAGAAAATGCGTTATACGTTACACTTATAGTTTTAATATGCAACTATTATGTTAATTAACCAAACTTGTATTCACGCACGTCACACAGTAAAGTCATAAATAGAAAACAGCTGCTGCACAATCAAAGTTACAAAACATTTGAACAAGTATAGCTTCTCTGACAGCACAGCAAATAGTTTATTTGTAAGTCTTCAGATGGGTATTTATTAACGAGGAAGAACGACATACAACCAAGCTTCTGTGTTTAGTAATGCACTTACTATAAACAAATAATGTCTAATTAACTGATAACACTTTGAACGGCGTATTTCGCTGGTATATTAACTAATATGATAGTCATTGTAAAAATTGTTTGCAATATAGTCATATGATTTTCAAGTGTCGTACAGCCGATAAAAAACAAGTTGAGGCACAGTGTATTCATACACGCTTTATACATTAGTTAATATGGATGTGTGCCATTCATGTACACTAATATCCACAAGTTCCGTATTTGTTATGCGGAAAGCTATTTCCAACACAGATAGCAAATAAAATACCAATAAACGAGTGTACACATAGGAAAAATCGTAATATGAAAGTTCTTTACTTACTGACTGACTCCTTGTTTTTACCAGCTGCTAAGACTGGAGAGAATTCTAAGCACATGCACACAGGACAGAGTTGGGTTCAAGAATAATGAAATTATATCATATTCAAGGTCATTCTACAATCCTTAGATTTCCTACTTCACACCAAATAAACGAGTCCCTGTACAACCTCGTGAAATGAGAACAACCTTCCTCCAGGTGGTCGACACAGTAATAGGACTAAGTAGGTATATAACTTACAAACGTTGCAGAACATAACCTGTAGAGCGCATTTCAAAATCAACAACACAAACCAGCACTAAATCTAACGGAACCACCATGACAACACGGTCAATTTGCGACCTTCGTACATCCGATTTTACCAGTGAGACGCTAACTACATGTTGGATAAAATTTCCGAATATACATAAATAAAAATATATTCTTTACTAATTATTGAAGGATGAATTACAATCGTCACAGATACGATTCTGATGCGTCAGAAACAAAGTTATTAGAAGCGTTAAAAAGTTACAAAAGATACATAACATTAGTGACTAAAATCCGATATTAATTACCGCCACTAAATGGAGTTAGCATACATTTTCCCTTGTTTACAATTAGTTTACGTATGTGGTATTATGATCCACCGATATCCAGTTGAAAAGACAAAATTTCCCGCAAAACACAGGTTCGGGGCAAAGAGTAAATTAAACATGGAAAAAGTAGTCTGAAACATCAAAATTCTTTATTTAACAAACCGGTGTTCTGTCTTGTGTGGGGGGGTCAGGGCTATAGCCTACACGTGGGCCCAAAGAAAAAAAAGAGAGAACTATAAAATTACCGGACTTAAATACTCAAGGAAAATAAAGAAATTATGGCATCCCACTACTGCAACCAATGGTCTACATGCTAAGTGCTAGCTTTAAACTTAAGAACAAAGGTTGCAACACGCAACTTTTACCTTTGTAAAAGGATTAGCACACGTTCACGACCTTGAGGCAACCAATTAACACAGTGATTACTGGGAATTTAAAAATAAAAAACTATTAAACGAATAATGTGAAATCCATGCCTATTTGAGTCGTTACATGTATTCTTGAACAAATGCTCCTTACATTCTCTGTATGGAGCTCAAAGGTTGAATAACAGGTCGATTACATAGTTCATAACATAACTGTGATATTAGAAGTGAGAAAGGACCATCATCATCATAAACATTAACCTTGAAGGTAGTTGCCCATTTCTAATATCACTCACATTATATGTCTTAAATAAACATGATATAAATTTACTGGTCTGGATGTTTTTAATCATGGAGTCCAAATTTAATAGCATTTTTACTTACAATGCAAGTTTTAATGTGAAACCAATCAGAAACTTTTACCCATAAAAATATAATATTTTTAAGGATCTTCCTGGCTTAGCAACTTAAGAAATTTTATGGTAAGGCTTTCTACTGCTCTCCTGAATGAGGGCACCAATGGTAAGGTCTTGTCATGTTATTAAGTGAAGTTTAAAGTGTTAACAAATACTATCTGGTGGTAGGAAGCAGTGGCAATAAACTTCTGTAACTGTAAGAATTTGATTAGCTGGCTTTATCAAAGGTTTATTTCATCGTTCCTTATTTATTACCTCTGCCACCGAAGGTGACGGAGGTTATGCGTGTTTGTATGTTTGTCAGAGAGATTTCTCAAAAACGGCTGAATGGATTTGGACAAAAGTTGGTATACACTTGGACTATGACCCAACTTAGAAGTGTTTAGTTTTGGAGGTCAAGGTCACATAAAGTTACAGAAATAAAAAATCCCTATCTGTTAACATGGGGACTGATTTTTCACACTATTTTTGCTCTATAACTCCTTCAAAAATGATTGGATTTGGTGGACATATGTAGAATAATATTCCTCATTGTTCTGCCAAAAATGGTCCATGTCTGTTGATAACTACAGACATAGGGGCACATTTTCTTATTTTTGAAGGCCGAATATGATCAATGCTGCATGGCAGAGGTATGCACTCTACCGAGTGCCTCTCTAGTCTTCTCAATATTTTTAAATTTTCTGATAATAATGAAATTTAGCCAATACCCTTGAAACCCATCTTTCACAATGAAAAGGCCTAAACAATCTTAAGCCATCATGGGTAGCTATGGAATCCCTGGAAAATATATCAAGGTGATGAACATCGTGTATCAATACTTTGAATGCTCTGTTAAGATGTAAATGATAATTATAAGAACTTAGAGTGAAAGTAAAAATTAATGTGTAACAATATGTCAAACATTATATCTTTTATATTCAGTGCCAACAAGGCCTTCCACCCAATAACAGGGCTCATCCTGAGAGCTGTGATATGAAAGGCACAGTAATAGTTGAAGTGCTATATGTATACATAACATAAGTTTATAGTTCACAGATTGGACAGGAGTGTGATAAATATGTATACTCTATCCTCTGCTTTTCTCAGTTGGCCATGGACTGGTTGATGAATATCATTGGTAGTAAATTAGAAGGTGGGTACCTAATCTAAGTAGATGATGTGACATTCTTTTCTGAAGACATCTGATCCATTCAAATTAGTCTACAGAAAAAACATATGGAGTAGGAAGCCATATTTGGTACAGACATCAACAGAGAAAAACAAAGCTAATATCTACAAAATAAAAGAGGTGACTGTATCAAGACATCAGGTACAGAATTTTATTATTTAGAAAGTCATAAACTGAATATACTTAGGAAAGCTGCATCTAATATGAAGAGACCTGGTATTTAACAACAAGAAAATTGGATACTGTATAAAAATAAAATTTTATATTAGCAGATTTTATTTCTAACCTACTGTAAAGAGAAAAAACTTAGGCAATAACAGAAACACTGAATATGAAACTGAAGGAGTTTGACTCAAGATACTTTCAACTCACTTCACACATCTAATTACAGCACTAAATCACAAACAATGAAACTTAATGCAAGGCACAAAGTTCCTGTAAGCTTGTTATTGGAGAGGAAATGCCTAGTTTTGGCACCTAATAAGAGTTCCTCAAGAGAAACTAGTAAGGAGAGAGAGAGCATGAAAACCACCAGACACAGAGGAAGAAGTAGACCAAAAAAACACCATGGTAAAAAAGACAGTTGAAAGAAACTTTGTTAGGACTTGATTTCACTTGTCAAGAAGCAGAAGAAAAGAGTGGAAGAAAACATTTTCTAGGTACATTAAGAAGTATCAATAAAGCAGGGCAGCCACATTCTAAACATTTTTTTTCTCAGATTTTCCAGACCCGTATGTAAAAATGTGACATTTATATTTCAACTTTTCCTACTAAATTTACCTAATTAACATCATTTTAGCTTGTAACTTCATTATAAAAAGTAATAAAAACCTCTGAACTTACTTCAGAGTACAGTGCTACAGAAAAAGATCTTCAAATAAGGAGATTACACGTTTGTAGTATACTATGAAATGTTGATCTTTCATTTATAAAAGAAAATTTTAGATAATTATCTACAAATGTTATAAACAAGTAAATAAGGTAGCAAGAAAAGTGTATGACATGCTCAGAGTTGCTAACTGAATACTAATTTCTCAAATGCACTTCAAATTAATTTCCAAAAATAACTTGAACTCTTTGCTAATAAGCCTATAATCAAATAAGATGCTTCCAGAAGATAGAATATAACTCAAACATTGGAGGAAAAAAAATATTATTGTTTAAGCGAGGAAAATCTAGGGCATAGAGACAAAATATGTATGTGCCTAAGATAAACTAGAACAGTATAAAAGCAATTTTGGATATGACTAACAGTTTATTTTAGAAAGAGTATGTTTATTTGAAATACCCATTAGGTAGAAACTACAGGGTTGCCACAAACCTAGAAAAGTTAGAAAAAATTGAAAGGTTATCCCAAAACATGGAAAAGTCAGGGAAAATGGTCTCATAACCTGCTTGTAAATGCACACCACAGTACTCAGTTTTGCCAGTTATTAGTATATTTTAACATAATCTTGATCATTCACTCCATGGTTATTTATTTGTGAAGTGGTAAAACATGTAATAGGATAAAGTGGTCTTGTTTCCATTTAGCAAACTGAACTTTCCATTATCATTTTTATCAAATAATCCCACATAATTTACACAATGATAGAAACAGTTACAACATTATTAATAAACCAATAAAAGGAACCTTATCAAAAAGCCTAATGGAAGTTTTAGATGCATAACATCAACTTAAGTGCTCTCATACAGTCAAACAAGTGGTTTAAAACTTGAGCCATGTATTCCTACTCAAGAAGATTCTCATTTAAGTCTCTTAAAGCTCCAATATTTTCTATGGTTCTCACTTTATGCTGTTAAACATAAGAAAATTTAAACTAAATTATGTATAAGCTAAGAGCCTTTCAAAGTTCCTGTAAGCCCCAACTGTTGTTTTCATAATCTTAACCTGTTTTTGTTTCTTTCAGTATTGTATCATATCTTACATTTTATTAAGTAAATTCAATATCCTTAAAAACTTTATATTCATAATTTATTAAAATATAATCTGGTCTTTCATTTGAAGATCAAAATGTATAAAGAATACAATCTTTTTCAGCAAATGTAAAAAATCTTTTAAGAACCCCCCCCCCCTCCACCTCTCCTTGCATTACTAATACTTATCCCTTTTAAAATTAAGTTTCTCATTCAGGTTATTTAATCAAATTAACTAGTTTCTGAATGTAAGCCTTTCTAAAATTTGGCTTGGCAAGGTGGTTGAGGCAATTTACTTGCAATCTACAGGTTGCTGGTTTGAATCCTGTCACTGAACATGCTCGCTGTTCCAAATTCCAGTCATCAGGGTGTTGAGAAAGAGTAACCCAAGAAATGGTTGTAGAGAGTGTTGACTGGCTGCCTTCTTTCTAGTCTATCACTTAAATATTAGGGATGGCTAGCACAGATACACTAGTAGCTTTGTACAAATTTCAACAAATATGTCCAAAAATTGAAGCTCCCAATAATGTTAAACCTACTTTTATTAGCAGTGTAACAAATCTATGCATAAATATTTAAAAACAGTTTATTAGGGGGGGCTTACAAAAAGTTCCATAAACATTTCTTTCCCTCTTCCACTTAGTAACTCAACCCAAACAGTCTCTAGATTATCAGTACATTTTGTGACATCACATCTTACACAAATCAGTTTTGACAAACAAAATAATACTTTCTATCTCTTATTTACATGGTCTCTGTAAAATTTAAAACTTTCAAAACTAAATCTAATCATTTAACTGTAAATTAGTAATATCAATGATATCAAACTTAATAATGCTCTAATTTCAATAATTTGTTACAAGTACTTTTTGTAATATTAGCATTAAAAACGGTGAGCTCTTTGTTTAATCTCTTATATTCAGTCAAAAAAGTTTAATCTTTTTGTCATAAGTCTTTTACAAGCCAAATTAAAATCCTCCAATGTCCATAAAAACATTCATCTCTAACATATTAGGTAACTAGTATAAATAATTCTTAATTAAGTAATTGAGTTCTTCTCCAAACCTACTTAAGTATAAACCATTGTGATTAAACAGCTTTTACCCATACAATTTTGAGCACAGTTAATGAATATATGACATTGGTTAGACTTAGAAATAGAAGTTAAGAGTTAGACATTCGGTAGGTTCATCACACTCAATTTCAATTGGTGGACCATTTATCGTTTCACACTGACATGATTAAAATAAACATCACTATTTCTTTTCACAGAATATTAATTCATAACCATATCATACATAACTGTATAATGTAACTAACTATAAATTAACTAATAGTATCATGAGAAACTGAAAAACAATACTTTGTCTAGATTCAGCAACTTCTGTTTGGTTTGATGTGGACTAGTACTACTACTACTACTAGCCTTTATAATTTTATACAACTGCGAAAATGTAATTCCATTATACTATATTGCAAGCTGAAATATTTTAAGTAAGCCTATTTAAAAGTTTAATTATAAATAATTAAATTGAATTTAAACTTTAAAGTGAGGAAAAACTGACCTTTAGGCTCTAATTTTGAAGTTTATCTCTTACTAACAATCCACTATGACACTCTTGAAATTAGTCGTTTGCGGTAAACTATATCAAATGTGTCATTAATTCTTTTATGAAGCAAGAGCAACTAAATCAAAATCGAGACATTTCTAAACAAATAAAGTTAGTAAACATAACTTTGATCTCTAAAAAATACATGTAAAGCTTAAACAGCGACACCTGGCGAGAATATGAGCCTAAGTTCAAGTTCACTCGAAAATATGAACAAATAACACAGTGACGTCGCAATAGTATATTGAATAATATTGCGTAAATTTGTTACATTTAGGCCTATGTCATGAAGCTAAAGGTACTGCAAATAATCAAATAAATTAATTCTTAAAGAGTTAACTTTTAAAGTTAGACATATTACTATTAGCATCATCTACATATTTTTGTAAGCTTTATTTTCAATACTTGAGTAAGGAAGCATATTAATTATTAAACAAATATAATAATAAGTTGGCAAACAAGGATTTATAAGCATAATAAAGTTGTTTATTTCAGTCTATTCACTCTACGAATCGTTGTTTGCCAACATAATGTTACGTCTCCGTTTGTTAATTAATTTTCCGTAAATTCTTTCCGACTAAACTTTAGCGACACAAGTCCTTTCTTAAATAAAACTGGTTTATTCTTTTTGAATATAACTTTACGATACACTTAATTTCAACAATCACGCTAAAACAAACGCTATATCAACGAACGTCAACAATACTTCTGACTGCAGATCAATTACACACTGTCTACACACATTACATTACATTCTTCCGCCACGTTGTCACCCTCTTTTATATACCAGACTACCCTATATCTAGTAAATACTAGAGCATTCGCCAAGGTACAGGATAGTTCTAGAAAATAGGTGGTGCCACACCAGTCACGTGATA